TGCGGAGAAAGCGTCTCGCCGCCTGCGCCATCGGGTTCGGCCGCAACGCCATCGGAGGCCGCGACGGTCGCTACTACGTCGTGAGCGACCCGGGCGACGACGACCCGGTCAACCCGAGACCCGGAACCCTCCGTCACGCCGTGATCCAAGACGAGCCACTCTGGATCGTCTTCAAGCGCGACATGGTCATAACCTTAAAGGAAGAGCTCATCATGAATAGCTTCAAGACCATCGATGGCCGTGGAGTCAATGTCCACATCGCGAACGGTGCTTGCATCACGATCCAGTTCGTGACGAACATTATCATCCATGGGATTCATATACATGATTGTAAGCCCACAGGTAACGCCATGGTCAGGAGCTCACCGTCGCATTACGGATGGAGAACAATGGCCGATGGTGATGGGATTTCGATTTTTGGGTCGAGTCATATCTGGGTTGATCATAATTCTCTCTCAAATTGCGCCGACGGGCTCATAGATGCCGTGATTGGTTCCACTGCCATCACCATCTCCAACAATTACTTCACTCACCACAATGAGGTATGATTATCAAATTGAACTGTCTGGAAATGGTCGATTCCTTGCGAAATCCATTATGGGTTTATGCGTTTACGCCAATTATGCGTCGAATTTGCGAATCAACGACCAAGGCTATGATCTTGATTGATTTGGGGGTGTTTACAGGTTATGTTATTGGGACACAGCGATACCTACACAAGGGATAAGGTGATGCAGGTCACTATTGCTTACAACCATTTTGGTGAGGGCCTTATCCAGAGAATGCCCAGGTAAAAAAAACCCGAACTTTACTTCCATCTTATGACCAAAAATATCTTATCAATCCCTCAGGATAAAACCATGGTCCTTGAAAATGGTAATGCAGGTGTCGGCATGGATATTTCCACGTTGTAAACAACGACTATACACACTGGGAAATGTATGCAATCGGTGGAAGCGCTAGTCCCACCATTAACAGCCAGGGCAACCGGTATCTCGCACCGGCAAACCCTTTTGCCAAGGAGGTATTTCTTTCTCATACATCGAATGGATCTGATCCGATCATATCTTGATTGCATTTAGACGATTCAAACTGTCTCCGTACATGTACTCTGTCCTTTCTCATATTCTGGATATCGAAAACAACAACGGTAAAGATGATTTAATGGAATGTGGTGGCAGGTGACGAAGAGAGATTACGCAGGGCAATCCCAGTGGAAGAACTGGAACTGGAGATCGGAGGGGGACCTCTTCTTGAACGGAGCTTACTTCAGGCAGTCCGGTGCAGGGGCTGGTTCAAGCTACGCTCGAGCTTCGAGCTTAGCGGCCAAGTCGTCTTCCCTGGTCGGAAGCATCACTTCCAATGCCGGTGCTCTTATCTGCAGGGGCGGTCGCCGATGTTAGCCCTCTCACTCTCTGGAGACAGACATGGAAATGAGCAAACGAAGCTCCCATACGGTGGATAAAGTATCATTTTTCACCTCTTCTATTTTCCAAATTAGATATAAAAAAGTTCAAACAAAGTCCACCAATTTCAGGCCCTTTGTTTTCTTTTTAATCTCTTCTGGTTCTTGTGTTACACTTGGAAATAGTGCTACTTGCATATGCAGAGGCCTGATTTGAATGGCCTCAACTGTATTATAAAGCTGTAATGATTATTCTTTCACCTCCATTGATGTATCTGTGAAGTAAAAAAAAAAGGAGTGATGTTTCTTGCCTGTGGGTTTATTTATTATGACACTCTTTTACGATTTTCATTGAGAAATAAGGTGTGTTAATGGTGGTGGATCCACGTGGTGGGTCACGTGGAGACAAAGAGGAGACAAGAAGCACATGAAGCCATATGAGATGTAATAAAGAAGAAGGCGAAGTGAAAGAGGTGTTTTGTTGGTGGATATATGAACAAAAGTGGGGTCTTAATTCTTATCATTGGCCATGTGATTGCCCTTCTTTTACTCCATCACATAATGGCTTTAGGAAACTGTTTTTTCCGTTTATTTGTTTTGTCTGGTGCTATCAGCAATTTTTACTAAAAATATAAAAATGGCCCATAAATGATCAGCACCAGTGGTCTAGTGGTAGAATAGTACCCTGCCACGGTACAGACCCGGGTTCGATTCCCGGCTGGTGCATATTTTATATTTTCAAATATATTTTATTATGGATCGGCCTATGAAATTGTGAGGCCCATCACTTTTTTTTTTAAAGACGTTGCTTCGGCCTAGTATCTAACATTTTGATGATTTTTTTTTTGTCATAGTTGATAATTAATTACACAATTTTGGAAAATACAAACTATATTACGTTTGCTACACAAACGAGACTGCACAACATATAGGTGACTGCCGTTGAAAAATCCCCCCATAGTAAAATTTTTATACAATTTCCTATAATAGTTTTAAAATTAATAAAACAAGGGAAAGAAACCGAAAAAGAGGAAAAGAACAAACCTTTTTTAGTTTTTTTTTAGGTAGTCTTTCATAAAATCTTTAACTATTTCCACTAATTTCTGCTTAATTATATTTGAAGAATATTTATTGTCAGAATAAAAAAATTACTAAACATGTAAGTACCAAAAAGTGAAAAAAAGAAAGAACATATATTGGAAATAAAATATATAATAAATATGCGTATCTCACTCTCGCGCCACTATAAAATCATTTCCATAAAAAAACAGAGGGGAAAATTAAGAAACTAAATCATTTCCATAAAGAGAGGATTCATTACAAGACAGCCACGCGAATATATGCACCGTCGGTTCCTCCTCCACTATATAAACAGTCGTTCGAACATGTCGGGAATATATATTCAACAAAGCAGCTTCGAATTACCGCATACGATATAATATATAATTAAAACCATACCAAACAAAAAGCCATGGCCAATAAACCCTACTCGTATTTCCTTGTCCTTCTCATTTCCGGTATAATTTCTTTTCCCTAAACCCTTTAAATTTCAACTAGTTTTATTATTTTTGTCAATTAACAACATGTGGTAGAATTAGGTTATCAATTGGCTCGGCTGATCCGAGCTCGCACTCGACCCGATTTTTTTTTTTTTTACCTAAATCGTCAAACCCAAAACCCGGTCCTATAGTCTTTAGTTTGGATTCGGATCGGATCGGTCTGTTATTTTTTTAAAAATTAGTTTTTTGATTTTTTTTTTTTGAAAAAATAATTCTGGTTTTCGAGCCGGCCCGAATTGCGATCTGAATCTGATCAGAAAGTTTGAAAATTTCCGGGTCTATTGACCTGAAACTTGTTATTTTTAGAGGTGGACCGAACGAGTTTCGAGTTTCGAACCAAAATTGATACCCTTGTTATTTATCCCAAATATTTGGTAAACAAAAAAAATATATGAAACCGCATGTGTTGGACAATCAATTCTTGTCCGAGGTACCATATGCATTGTCATAAACATAATGTACTACGATATACATGATTTTGTACTATTATTTATACTTGTATTTATTTTTGGTCGTTCTATGTTTTGAATCAGTGTTGGTGGTGCTATCGGGAACCGAGGCACAGAGCAGATGCATTGAGGAGTTGGACCCGACAGCACAGTGCGAGCTCTCCCAATGCAGAGCAAAGTGCTTCAAGAAGAATGGGTTCGGAAGCTGTATCGAGAAGCCTCTAGGCTCCGACCAATATGTCTGCACTTGCGTTTACAATTGCGGCCCTTCTTCTTTTTAACATAATCTTTATGTATGTCTTGTTTCTCAAGTTCGATCAATCAATAAAACCAATTATCCACATGTGTTTTTTTTTTGTCATTTGCAACCCTACTTTTCGCACGAGTAAGCGTTTATCCATAGATTAGGTCGGGTGAATGTCACAAGTGTTTTGAAACGAGCTTTGAACGATTTCGAACGAAGAGTAACGAGAATAACCGCTACGTTTTGGCGATAAGTAAAGGGTGTCTCGGTGCACAAAACATTAGTCGCCGAACCGAACAAGGATCAGCGGATCATGTCCCCTTGGAATTGTTATCAATCAACGGATACCCGCTGAAATATCCCATGACGGAACACATAGACCATTGGAAGGTTCTAACATTTTGCTGTATCAACGTTCATCCATTGAAATTCTTTTTACCCTTCTAACCTTCTATATTGATATATAGATATAGTGATATATATATATATATCGTATATAGTGATATATAGAAATTTGACAAGTGAAAAAAGCAACAACATAGAATCAGCATCCGATGTCCCCACACATCGGGAGTCTTATTTCAGTTAACACAATTTAAATTAAATTAGAAAAGGAGTTAGTTGGGCCGGGCGAGGAGGCAGCAGCAGTACTGGGTCTGAGAGCCGCTGACCCACTGCCCACAGCGGCCTGAGTCAAACGCCATTCTTTTGCACGCGGCGTCGCAATTGGGTACTTTTTCACATTCTCCTGGGCAGTTCATTCCCGCCGGCAGCCCCCCAAACCCCTCCACTTGTCCTTTTTCATTAATCCATATATGTCACTATATATATATATATATGTGTGTGTATGTATTATATATAGTTGTGTATATAGATCGACTGACCTGAAACTACGAGTAGGAAAATGATCGCAGTCGCCACGATGAAGGAGCTCGAGACTCTCTTGTGTTCCATTTTTTTTTCGTTGATGATAATGATGATTCTTGTTATTTAATTACTTATGATATGATTATATATAGTTTTTTTTTCCTTTTTTTTTCTTTTTGGTAGTATGCATGCACTATGCGTTGAAATAATTAAGGGAAATACAGATTTGGAAATATTGAAATTGATTTTAGTGCACATAATCCAATAAAAAAAACCAAGTATTAAATGTTAGAATCTATTCAAATCAATTTCAATTACTTTCAAATCTGCATTTCCTTTTTTATTTCAACACTATGAGCAAAGTTTTAGGTAGATATGATATGACAGAAGATAACCATGCATCGGATTTGTTGATAATTACTACATATGATACGGGTATTTTAGTTTTGTATAATACTCCCTCCATTTCAAAATATTTATAGTTTTAGGTTATTTTACATGTTTCAAAATATTTGTCATTCTACATTTTCAAGACATTTTTTTACAATAGTTTCCAATTTTATCCCTATCAAATTCCACTACAAAAAAATCAGCAAATTTATCGGATTTGTTGATAATTACTACATATGATACGGGTATTTTAGTTTTGTATAATACTCCCTCCATTTCAAAATATTTATAGTTTTAGGTTATTTTACATGTTTCAAAATATTTGTCATTCTACATTTTCAAGACATTTTTTTACAATAGTTTCCAATTTTATCCCTATCAAATTCCACTACAAAAAAATCAGCAAATTTCAACGAATTTTCCAACGGATTTATCCGTTGGAAATTTTTCAACGGATTTTCAACGGTTTTCAACGGCATTTCAACGGTGATTTCCGTTAAAAATCCGTTGAAAATTTTCAACGGATATCCGTTGGAATCGCCCGTTGGAAATTTTTAACGGAATTTTCAACGTATTCAATTGAAAAAATTAGGATTGAAATTTTCCAACGGTATTTCCAACGGATTTCCGTTGGAATTTTTTTTGGAAATTTAAAAAAAAAATTCCAACGGAATTCCAACGGATGTCGGTTGGAAATTTTTTTGGAGATTTAAAAAAAAATTCCAACGGAATTCCAACGGATGTCGGTTGGAAATTTTTTTGGAAATTTTAAAAAAAAAATTCAACGGAATTCCAACGGATGTCGGTTGAAAATTTTTTTGGAGATTTAAAAAAAAAATTCCAACGGA